CCATTGCGCTCTTGGCGTGGTACATTTTTAAAAGGGCAAGAGGGGTTTCTACATGGGGGAGGCCGGCGGTATATAGGGAATTCTGGATTTTTCCAAGAATTCGTGACGTCTTCCTTGGAGACCTGGGACCGTTATTCTCTAGGCCTAAATTACCCTTCGACCTTTGGGTCTTCGAGGTTTATGACGTGGCCTGTGTCGCTGAAGTCAAAAACTCTACCAATAAATGCATCAATAAATGAATTTGCTAAAAACTAGAATTGTCACATACCAACCTAGTGCTCTCATACAGATGCCATGGATACTAAATTGAAGGTTTTCAAAAACTGTTACTTTCTTTCACCACGTCGTAAATCTATTCTCAAAATTTCTATGTTTTATATGATTTATGTTTGTTACGTCATAATAGCAACCGTTAGTTATTAAATGGCAAATTTTAATATTTCGAAGTTTATGAATTTGATAATTTAGGAAGTGGAAATTTAAGGAAGATTTCACAATTTGAAAATATGGTACTTTCGGAATTTCGGAATTTAGAAAAATTGCAAATTCAAAAAATGTGGAATTTGAGGATTTAAGAGATTTGATGATATGAGAATTAGGAATCAAAGTTTTTAATCGGAGAAAATATATGCTGTATCCAAATTAACTTTATACGTCAAATTCTATATATCTCACTCACTGAAACAATGTATTATGAATATAAAATAATAAATGATATACTCCTCACAGTACAGTACGAAATATATCACGAACGAATGTAAAGTTTTACTTCTATTGTGGACTTACTTAATAAATCTAGCCAATAAAACTTCAATTCCGTCGAGACAGTTCTAAAATAATCTATTAACCAATCCATTTGAAATATATCATAAATTGCTGACCCATTAAAAGAAACTAAAGTTCATGAATAGCCGCAACTTATGAAACTCTTGTCTATGTTTCTCAATCGCCTTACTAGGGTAAATATATTAATTACGAAGCCTGACCTAATTATAAAGCCCTTGTATCTAATTATAAATAAGCATAAATAAGATCTTCTAAATGAAATAATTGTTTTTTTCACAGTAACTGTAATAAGGCTATTTATGAATCACAAAGGTTATTTAACATTCGCCAAGATCACAAACATCAGTTTTTACTACTTTACTATTTCTTCATTAAAATATAATAATACTACTCATAAATTACGCTAATTTAATTGAAATGAGTAAGGGAAATATAAAAATATACGTATTCTTAATTCATAGCCCATGAGACAAATGTGTTTCAACCTAACGAGTTTAGAACATGACAAGGAAAGACAGCTACTTTTGTTATTTTTAATTTAGTGCCAACATTACCCATGTACCACCATGACATACGTGACAAATATAACTTTTTTCTAGACTTTCTAATTATTACATGTTATTCACAGAACTTTTAGGTCTCAGTAACGCAAAAAATATCGTAAACACTGAAAAAAATAGCTTTTGCTGCTAAATTTGAATTTTTCAAATTTGTTAACAGATTTGTTAAGCCGTGTGACATACACATGTATGTAAGTTTATATACACGTATATGTGATAATAATCCTTTAATTCTAAAAGCACCTGTTTCTTTTCTAGGAAGGTGTCATACTAAGGGTGCAATGGAATACAGGACACAAGATATACAGTGAAAACGCCAAAAGGCGATGAAGGTTGAAAGAGAATTTAATGAAGCACGTAGTCAGACAAAATTAACACAAGTTAGGTATTCAACAAAGAAAGAATTCAATATTTGAACTAATATGCATACACATAAATATATACGTTTATTCAACACACGTTCACAATTCAGAATAAACAATTACACTACAAAGTGCTCTGAATTTAATATGATTCCAAAGCCGTTCATCTTTGTATGGTTCTTCACCTCAGAATATAGGTAGAACACAGTTCACACAACATGGCACGATCTCACTCCAACAATTAATTACAAAGTAACACCAATTCAAGCTTAGTTATGTAGGATTAACCCTTTGCAATCGGATGTTGCTGTTGCCGCTTGGTCAAAAGTTTTCGTAAAGAAGATTCTAGATTTAAGTGTATCCCAGCAAGGGCTTGGGCGAATCGGTCTTTGCGGACTTCACATCTGGTGACCATTCGCTCGAGTCAAGGTAACTTTCTCTTTACTTTCGCTGGACTAGAAGAGTTTGGTGGTATTTTTATACCTTTACCAGAGAAAACATGTTATCCATTCTTATCTAGGGGTGGTTATTCAACCGTAGCAGATTGGCAAAGCGAGGATTTTATTTGTTAAACCGTTGTACTCTTCAAGTCGCGCATGATGCTCAGTAATTTTAAAAAGTCAAAGTTTTTGTACAATCATCGCCCTTTCTTCTGCAAAATAAAAACGAGTCTGTAGAATATTTGGGCATATTTTTTTATCTTCTCCTTCATTATCATACAAGCGGAGTACACTTCACCCCAGCGAGTACATTTGAAGAAATTCTCAACCGTAAGTGGTAAATAATCTGATTGTACAAAATGGCTGAGAACTTCCGTAATGACATACATACAGGGTGTCCCGCAATTAGTGTAGGACCCGAAAAGGGGTGGTAGGTGGGGCGATTCTGAACAACTTTTTCCTTTGCCAAAATATTGGTTGAGGCTCCATTTTCGAGTTATTAGCAAAAAACACACCAATGAGAGCGTGCATAGACCGGGCGCGCGAAAGCGTGAGCGACAGCTTCGAATATGACGGCTGATCGTCGTCGTGAACAAATGTATCGATACCGTCGGTATAACGTCGGTATATCGTCGGTATAACAGGAAGCTATTAGGTGAAAGTTAAATTGAATAATGAATTAAGAAGTTAAGAATAATATTAAGTTCTTCGTAATTCGTGAATGGGAGATAAACCAATTAGTTGTTGTTTACCCAAACCAAGTATCTTGTATTTATTTTAAGCCTTCAAAAAGGAAAAAGAATAAATTCACGAAAATTCATTCTGCCGATTATTCTAATGAAGCAAATGAATAAATTCACGTTTCAAAACGAATGAGTACCTTCCCTACGAAATAGGATAAAATTGGAATAAAATATGTAATGCAGTACCTCATTGAAGTGAAATAAATCAATTGCTGCGTACGTATAATTTTAACAATACGGAAACAACTTAAATAAAACTTACCCATTGATTCATGAAAAAACTAGCTTCGATAAAAAATATTTATGTCACCGGGTAGATCCACCGATCAGAGCATCAACAGCTGATATCCTGGCAGGGTCAATGAACTCTCAATTTATTTCACTGTCTCTTTCTAATAATTTGTTATTTCTTATTCATGAATGAATGATAATTCAACAATAATCCAGATTTTTTTATTCATTATTCAACGTAACTTTCATCTAACAGCTTTCTATTATACCGACGTTATACCGACGTTATACCGACGCGGTATTGATACATTTGTTCACGACGACGATCGGCCGTCATATTCGAAGCTGTCGCTCACGCTTTCGCGCGCCCGGTCTATGCGCGCTCTCATTGGTCAGTGTTTTTTGCTAATAACTCGAAAATGGAGCCTCAACCAATATTTTGGCAAAGGAAAAAGTTGTTCAGAATCGCCCCTCCTACCACCCCTTTTCGGGACCTACACTAATTGCGGGACACCCTGTATAGTTTACATAGCTGGTGATATGACTAATACCAAATCTACATGACCGATACCGGTTTTTGAATTTCAATTTGGTATCGGTACATATCAAAGATAAAGGCATTAAAAAGTATCGATACTTCTCCCATATTTATACATAAACATGTACGAATGCTCAATATGTACTCAAAAATATAGATATCGATTTAATACGGATCAAAAATATTGATATCCACTTGATATACTTGATGAATAATATACTTGATGAATAATGAATGAGTGATGCGTCTGTTCAATTTATCGGTTTAGGTTATACTACAGTTTACAAATTATAACTCACAAATTCTGATTCACACTTGTATCGATTGACGGAGGATCAGTGCCAATAATTGATACTTCTTCTACTAAGTATTCTGGGATCAGATAGAATTGAATATCATTAATAATATTGGTATCGATTTGATTACTATAATTCAGAGGTGGTGGTTTCGAGCTTGCCTAGGTAAAATTGGAAAGAGACGAGGTATTTTGAACCATACAAAATGTATCCAACACTAATGATAACTAATGACCAAAATAAAACGTAAAATATATAGTCAACACATTTATGTAACTGAAACTTCATTAATTTATGATTTTTTGTAATTTAAGCTTCTTTAACATATGATTTCTTTTTATTATAAAAACAGCAATATAGAATTAGTTTAACATTGTTCTATATATTTCGTCTGATATTTTACATATACAATTTCATTACAAATTATAAAATTAATATGATATTTGGCATTGAAATAGAATCATTTGGTAAGCTATTGATATTTCATTCCCTCCGCGTTTGCTTCTTGAGTTGCATACAGTCCACGGGCTACGGATTGGGCACACATTTATATATGTACAAAATATTTATTAATATATGCAAAACTCAATATATTCCTTATACTATACCGAGAAATCAGAAATAAGTATCCCATCTAATTAGGAAGTCGTTCGACGAACTGAAACATTGATGATCGTTGCTGTAACGTAAACGTAATCAAATCAAAATAAAGGAAGTATCGACAAAGCATAGAACCTTTTAAACACAAAGGAAATGGTTACAAGAGTGGTCCGCGTATAATATTGAAATAAACAATAAGTTAAAAATATTTTCCTTGAGTTTTTTCAAACTGAAGTTGCCTCGATATTTCTCTGAATTTGGTGAGGAAACCACCTGATCACCTCGAAGGTATTCACAGGTCTGAGCGTCTCGTCAGATGTAAGCGTGCCTCCACCTTTTCTTTCTTCCCACCACGTCTAAGTTGAAGAGACCGGTAGCGGCACCGACTAAAGACGGCCACTTCAGCGTGGTATAAGCAAAAGTCGACAAACGTATATACGCGATTCGTTCTGCTCCAAGTGTCGAGAATACTAGCAGCCGTGTGCCAACGAAAACCGACAGTTTCCGCGTGGACTTCGTCGTAACGGGTAGCAGGCTCGATCGTGCGCCTCCTCTTCATCCTCTTGATACGGCTTTACCAGCGTCGCGTTGTGCGTGTTCTCTCTGTGTGTCACGAGGAAAATGCGGTCACACAGTGTCCCCGTGTGCTTTGTTTACGTTCTACTAAGTGGTCTGGGTGAGTAGCCGTGTGAATGAAAACCGTTTTCCACCTGTGCCTTACGCAGCACGACACAAGTGATCCAGTGTCTATAGAAATGAAAGTGTGTTAAATTTAATAGAAAAAGTTGCCGTTGCTGATTTAGGAAGAGCAATTTTAACAAGTTCGAACCTCATACGGCAACTGGAGCTTGGCCGCGATAAGGTGAAGTCGTGAATTAAAATATTAAAATAAGACGACATCGATTGATGTTGCAGCACTTAGGAACGACATTATGTTACTTTAATATTTTGCACTAAAAGCCATGAATTGCGATTAGTGTTTCTAAATTCATAAACATTTGTTAGATAACTAAAGGCATCTTATAAAATCAAAAAGTATGAGTGCTTGACATTTATTTTTCAATATATAACGTTATTTCAAAAAGTGATTGCTAGTCATAAATCGTATTTTATCCATGAACGCTCATGATTCATGGCTGAGGATACGGTTTCAAAATTACCTTGACTAGAGTTAGAAAAACACAAAGTAACAGGGAGCAATTAGGTCTTGCAATATGTGCTACATTTGTGACCTTCAAATATTTTTATTACACAGTTATTTACCAAAATTTAATAAACTAGTCAATAGTACACTCATGTAACGTGAACTAGCAACATTGTCAACGTGAGGATGTAATATGTGGCTATACATAGAACTTGCAACAATATTAACGCTTTGAAACAAGGACGATCTCTTCTTGTGTGTCTGCCGTGATTGTACACTGCACAAAAGCAACCACATCTGTGTTGTCAGCATCCACGGCTCGTTTCACAGGGGTTAGATCTACGGCCTTCGATCTCACGGTGTTAAGCGTGGTGATCTAACGCGCGACTATGCTACGCGTGTTAATCTAACTCGTGGGAATACAACGCATGGTAATCTAACGTGTGGCGATTTAGCACGTGATAATATAACGCGTAGCAGTCTGACGCATACCGAAACAACGTGTGGCAGTCTGTTGCACCAGAATCTAAGAAGTGGTAATACATATCGTACGAATACAGTCTGCAACAAATATAATATATGGATGTACAACGCATGAGAATAGATACAACGTGGAGATACAACGCGTAGGCATATAGGGGGTGACAATACATTATAATTATAATTGCATAATGCATGGCAATACAACGCATGCAAATACTTCGCGTGGAAATACAACACATGGGAATACCATATATAAAAATACAACTAGTAGAAAAACTACACGTGGAAATTCAATGATTAGAACTTCAACGCATAAAAATGCGAGATGTAGGCAATGTAATATAGCGAAAGACAATATAATTTGAAGTAATACAACGCACCGACAATATAACATATGGCAATACAACGTGTAGGAAAATCGCACATGGAAATACAACGCGTCGAATACCGTACATACACAATTTAACATGAAGCAACATCACATGTGAAAATACAACGCGTAGGTACACAATGTGTAATGATTACAATGGGTGGCAATATAACATGCGGGAATATCACAAACGAAAATACAGCACATAGAAATATAACACTGCCAATACAACGCGTGGAAAATATATCACGTAGGGATATAATATTTTCAAAAATACAAAATGTAAAAAAAATCTAGCCACAAAATTCGTGTAAATTCTTGGAGTAAGAGTAAATATAATAATTTTCTGTTAATCTTAAAGCGCTGTCATTGAATCCAGGACAGTACAGGCGGAAGATAAATTGTTTGTGGGTTTATCCGTGGAAAACGGAAGGAAAAAGAGGATCAGGATACAGGTGTAAATTGATCGAGGGAACGCGTCTGGAATGCAGACAGTAAAATAGTGTGAAACTGGTCCCAGAACGATGTAAACACGTATTCCCAGACACGTGTTTCTCGGGTCCTACGGGAATCGATGCGAGCTGGTTAGATACGACCAACATTTCCACACGGAGCATAAAGTGTGTGATGGCTAACAGTATCGTGAGCCAAATTTATGTACCTGTTACCGGTTTAAATATTTACTGAAGTATTAATGTAATGAAACAACGCGTTGTGTCAACTGCTTGACATTTTCGCTCGTAATGAAATTTCATTTGCCCTAAATAGGAGCATCATATTCCTTTATTGATTAGATTGTCCTTCCGTTTTTCATGTATAACATTTATATTACATAATAACTTCTTGTTTATTTGGGCCGAACAGGGTTAGCAACACTGTCTGAAAGAATACTAGAACGATGGTACTGATGCACTGCGCGTTCTAAAGTAATTCAGATGTTTATCTGATAAAAGTAAGTTTGCATTTTATTTTATAAGATACTTTTATAAATAAGTAATGAATGTGTTCGTGAATAAGGAATGTAGCATTTTTTTTTTATATTCTTCAATTAAATATTAGGGATTGCTACTAGACGTAGAATTTTATATTTTTCAGAATTTTATATGTTTGTTTAGTATTGAAATGTTATTACAAAATAAATTTGTGAACTAACAATTTTTAAGAATAGACATTTCACATTTACAAAAATCTTTTTTACAAACAAGGTCATTTGACTAATAAAGTCAGTCTACTAATATAAGGATATTGTTGTTGAAAATGTTTAATTAATAGAAGTAAATGTTGCTTGTTGTACTTAATCTGCTGGTAGATTTATTGAAAACTGGACACAACCTAGTTTATTAATATTTTAAAATAATATTTTATTCATAATATTAATAAATACGTAATGCACTCTAATATTATGAAATGTTACAAAATTTTAAGTATGCGTATTTCTCAGTATACAGAACAAAATGTTAAATTGCCCAAGCAATAGTTTAACAGTTAAATTTTAAGCACCAGCTTAATATGTATGTAATGTCCATAAATAAGCTACCCGCTACTTAAAACTTATTTAACTGGAACAGACGTCAGTAAAAGTTGTCCTAAATAATTTTCAAACCAAAATTCTGTGTTAATCCTTTGCATTCGAAGGTATTTTTGCTGTTGGCAGATGGCAACCTTAAAATGTTTTATTGACAAACTTAATGTATTCTTCTGAAGTTATTATTTCTCTGTTACTAGCTTCCACTAGTATCTGTTTTGTTGCGTTTACACATCATATATATACAACGCTAGACTTAATTTAAAAATACCTATTTCATATGATTCAGTTACACTAAATGTACGAGTCACCTTTCGAGTGCAAAGGTGAGTACAATAGTGCACCAATAATGGCGTCGAAGTCCATTTTCTTACGTTCTAGTATATTATATCGATCTAAGAGATTTCTATAATGACCCGCTCTAAAATATTAAAAGGTCAATAAACAAGTAATATTTCAGCACGTGGAGAACCACTCGATCATCCAAATATCATTCTGTTTAAAATCAGCTAGAAAAAATCATGTTTCCGATTTATTTTCGTTTGTGAACATCCGCCGGTACGCCTCCACCCATCGAGTAGATAATTCGAACGCCAGGTGAACGCGGTTGTGTTTCCAGTCAGCGTCTGGCGTCGACCAACGACGACGACGACGTCGCCGTCACCGTCGTCGAACACCAAGGGAAATCAAGCGTTCTCCGCTTTTATTTGCATAAAATGATGGGACTGGCCATGTCACGTTCGGAACGTCGGCCTCTCGACTCTGTTCGCGCGGCCCATTCGCGCTGATTTTCCTCTTGAATTTCATTACGCTTCGGCCCCTATGGTGCCTACCGACTCCGCGGGAACAACGCATGTCTCCGATCATTAAGTCCGCAAGTAGATGCAAATTAAAGAACGGCTAGAAATTTTCCCGCAAAATTATCAGGTCGTCTGTCTGTCATTGGATTTCGAAAGTCTTTCTATCGAGGGCGACGCTGATTTGGATCTGCTTCGTAATCTGGCTAGGATAGGATCATATTCTCCAGTTCACTTTGGCTCGAACGGTACATTTGGGTGCAACGTAGAGTGGTTAGCTTAGCAGAAATGTAGGAAGCGAGTTTCTCTGATTCTCACTAGGTCCCAAAAACCAAAAATAAATGGTGGCAGATTCCTCTTCCCTATCTACAAGTACAGTGATGTTCGAATATATTGCATTGGAATGCAACGTAGGCTTAACAGAAACAGGGATCTTTGATTCTAACTAGGTCTCGAAAATCAAAAATATATTGAGGCACACTCCTCTTCTCTACCTACACGTACAATGATATTCGAGTATATTATCACTGTTCGGAACAGTGCTTGGCTAAATGCTCGGAGAGATAAATTTCTGAGTATTGATCGATATTATCTGACTGTAATTAGTTTTATAGCTCATTTTAAATGTTAAAAAATTTTTGAAATAATGTGACTCTGAAAGGACTCTCTGAATTAGTGACTCTGACAGGGTATTATTAGAATAGAATGTTTAAAAAAATTTTTTAAATTTGACACAAAGATGGGTGTGTACTCGTCTTTTGTTATTGCTGCAATACAATTGTTGGATGATCAACACGGCCAAACAAATCATCAAACATTACAGACTCATCCCCCTACAAACACACTAATCGCGATTTCTAAATCTTATTCATCCTGGACCTCGACCCATCCTATGTCACACTGTCCCTTGACCACCGTTTCTACCTCTACCTAACTCCAGTAATAGTATATAACAACTCGCAATATTGAAAAATGTTCAGAAAGAGTCTAGTACTTACTTGACCCAATACAGACTGTACGAGTTTCCTTAAGTAAAGTGTGTTGCGAATTCTACCGGAAATCAACACAATTAAAATGGATATTTTTAGGCTTATTTAACAAAAATTGAATGTTTCCTTTTTCAACAATTATCAAGTCATAAATATGCTCTAACATTTAAGGCTTGAGTCAAGAGGATGCAACTATACACCTTAAATTGTTTATTTCAACTGCAAGGATCTATAGGCGTGTGACAAATTTTTCCGTAACCATTTTTCTCATTCTGAAGGTTTTCTTGAAAGTGTAAAGATGTGTCTTTCAGTGCTCTCTGATATTTATTGAAGTTTCTTTTTAGAAAACGTTCGATCAATTATTTTAT